GCGCTGATCGACTGTGGGGCAACCGGAATTGCATTTGTAGACAAAGACTTCCCCTGCCATCACCACCTACCCCTCGTACCCCTGAAATTCCCGCGCACCCTCGAAGTCATCGATGGCCGTCCCATCGAGTCAGGCGACATCACACATGTTGCCACCACCACCCTGTCCATACAGGAGCACCACGGAGAAATCCCTACGTTTGTCACCTAACTAGGCCACTACCCCGTTGTACTCGGAATCCCCTGGATGGACCTCCACGGTGTGGCCATCCGGTTCAGCTCCCGGACCCCCATCTTCGGCTCCCAATACTGTACAGCTTACTGCAATGCAGTGCCCACAGTTGCACATGGAGTCACGATCGGCCCACCTGACATATCCACCTATGCTCTCGCGTCAAAAGCAGCTCAGGAAGAGCCAGCGGTAAGCGCGGCGGCCGGCGACATCGTGGCCCGCTGCATTACGTCTCCCTCAAGAATCAATAACCAAGAATACACTAACCTTTCAAGGGTAACCACAGTCAGAATCTCTGCTTTACAGATGGAGTCATTCCAAGAACTGGTCAGCAGGAAAAGTCTGACGATTTTCAACACCACGCTTGCTGAGGTCAACGGCGCACTGAAAGGAAACAAGGACCCTACGGCACATATCCCTCACAGATACCACGAGTTCCTACCGCTGTTCTCCGAAGCCCTTGCCCAGAACCTGCCCCCGTACCGACACTACGGTCATAAGATTCCACTCAAGGAGGGATTTACGCCCCATACGGACCACTGTATTCACTCTCCAAAACGGAGCTCATCGCACTGAAGGAATGGCTTGACGACAACTTCAGCAAAGGTTTTATCCGTGCTTCTTCCTCTCCAGCAGCATCGCCAATCCTGTTTGTCAAGAAACCGGACGGCTGCCTACGCCTGTGTGTGGATACAGGGGACTGAACGAAGGAACAATCAAGAACAGGTACCCACTCCAACTCCTCCAAGAAACTCTGATGCGGTTCTCCGGGGCGAAATACTTTACCACCCTGGATATCTGCGGTGCTTACAACCTTGTACGGATGGGGGAAAGAGAAGAGTGGAAAACTGTCTTCCGGACACGCTATGGGCTCTTTGAATCCCTCGTGATGCCCTTCGGCCTCACCAACGCCCCTGCCAACTTCTAAGCTCCGATCAACGATGTGCTACGCCCTTTCCTTGTCGGCTTCTGTATCGCATTCATCGATGACGTCTTCATTCACAGCGTATCCTTAGATGAACACCGGAAACACTTCAGGAAAGTACTGCAGGCCTTATCGGCAGCCGGCCTACATCTCAAACCTGAAAAATGTCATTTCCACCAGGCCGAAGTCAAGTATTTGGGACAGATCATTACAACAAACGGAATCAAGATGGACCCAGCGAAAGTCTCCTGCATACTGGAATGGGAGGAGCCGAATACCGTCACCGATGTGCAATACTTTCTGGGATTTGCGAACTTCTACCGGTGATTCATCCAAGACTATTCCAAGGTGATATCCCCATTGACAGAATTGACCAAGAAGGAGAACGGAAAGTATGTTCCCTTCGTGTGGGGACCGGAACAGCAGAAAGCGTTCAACGAACTGAAAACAGCATTCACCTTGGCCCCGATCCTCTGGCACTTCGACTACGACCGGGAGATGGTAGTTGAAACTGACGCCTCCGACTACGTCTCCGCCGGAGTCCTATTCCAGTACGACGATGAGGGAATCCCGCACCTGGTGGCGTTTTATTCCAAGAAACACTCCCCGGCAGAATGCAACTACGAGATCTATGACAAAGAACTCCTTGCAATCATCCTCGCCTTTGAGGAGTTGAGACCACATCTGGTGGGCAACTGAGAACAGAGGCAGGGACAAGGACTACGGCGCAGACGGCAGCCGAGGCAAGGACAGAGGTAACAGTGGTTGAATTAACAAGTTGTTGCGTGAAGAACTAAATACAGAGGGGCAACGGCCCGTTTATATAGGAAATCCTCCACTTCTTCCCGCAACCTGACAATGACCGTGGGCATGTGCCAGACCCTGAGAAATCCACCTTGCCAGTACCCCGCTTCCGTGACTCATACCCTGCGCAGCCGCACCACCCCTGCTTCCTGCACACAGCCCCAATCCCCTGCGGCTCATTACTGCGCTATCCCTGCTCCCTGCACACAGCCCCCAATCCTCTGCGACTCATCCTTGCACTGCCGGTGCACTGCCTGTGCACTGCCTCCCAACTCTCCCGATCCTTGCGCCGACCCTCCCTTCATCATTCCGTCGCGAGCCGTGACAACTATATAGTCACTTGACTGTTGTCCCGGAAATCCCAACACCAGCACACCAGAACAACCAACACTACCGGCGATACCCCTTAAGGTTATTCCGCTGTGAATCCTCAAAATCCCTGACTTTTATTCTATACTCGATATCTATCAAGACCCCGACGTCCTGAAACCGTTCCAGTCTCACATACAGTCAGTGAAGAATGCAATTAGTGGGCTGTAGAAACGTGGAAGTGCATCATCCAGTTGTGAATATTGTATGTTGATGCTGGTAGACAAATTGTGAACGAAGAGGGGTGAGAATAACTTACAAAGTTGAAGATGGAAAGCTTTGATTGTAGATGCTTGGTGTAATAAAGTACACTGGGAAAGTACTATACCACTCGGCCAAAAGGTATTTTGATGGCTGAAGACCATCATTCCAGTAGCTACTTAAGGCAAGGATTTCTGAACCGTGACACTTGGATGCTACAAATGGTTGAGAACGTAAGAGGAGGAATGAGGAAGAAGGAAGGAAGGAAGCAGGAGGGAGTAGGAAGGGAGACTGAGGGTTGTTTGTGGGCCGGATGCCAAGACAGCAAAGTGATGGGGTGTGAGTAGGGCCTGTTTTGAGGGAAGGGGTGGTGACAAAGGGTAGGGCTAGTGATAGGGGCCTCGTGAAAACGCTGGGTGGAGCGGCGAAATTCAAGGCATATCGTCTAGTCACATCTCACTGGGCTACTCCTACCCATACGGCGGGTTCACAAGACATTCATGTTCTTCTCTGTATCTTCCTTTGCCCTTGTACCAATGTGATTCATTGCCGACCTTGAAAAGAATAGAATCAAAAGTCTTCACGTTGCTGTCATATACCACAGAAAACGAGAGAGGGGGACAACATCGATTTATCTTGTATACAGCCAGTTCGGGCTACGGCAAACCCAACCAACGAACCTTCCCCGCCCGCCAGAGATCTCGAGGGGACGAGTGCGTTTTGAAAATGTCTCGTTACTAGCTCCGGGCTATTAAAGGACATAGTAGGTAGTACGGCTAGAATGTCCTGATGTCTCGGATGTCGCGCTGCCAACAACAGGAAGCGTGCCAGCATCTCAAAGAGTGGCGGGGCGTTCGATAATCAAGTTGCGGGCGCAAGTTTCGACAGTGGTCACGAGCGGAACCTGGCACCTGCTGCTGTAATAATTGTGACAGAGTTTGATCGATAGCATCTCAACTTCTTCACCGCGAATTTGAACCTACTAGCTACGCTGTCTTTCGGTGTCTGACATGACAGCCCCTGGTCTTCCTATGTAAAGTGGGTGCCGGTATGCATCGTCGTCCTGTGCCGCCCTACAGTACGTATTGGAATTTTGGCCTGCTTCGCTGTGGATGGCACACTGTCTTTGCCGTGGCTACCGCGTTCGCTCGTCGCCTCACCACAGATACCACACTATACTGTCTATGCCACGATGAACCCGCTGTATGTACTTGCTGTGGATAACCCGCTTGCCTCGCCGCGGATATCACTCTGTTCTTGATCGTCGAGGTATCCTGTAGATGATGACTATGATGAGAGAGAGAGGAGGCCTCTCGAAATTCCCCACTATCCACTAAGTTCTCCTCGTTCAGGGTCAGCCCGCCATCCTATGATCCTTGAGAGTCCAAAGTTGACTTCGGTGCTCGAATCCCCTGCCACCTACCAACCAAGGGGAAGGTATGTACTCTAGCTCTGGATTCAACCAGATGCTCGCCCAATTGCCTGTCCTGGGGTCTGAATCGCTTGAACCTGGTAGTCGAATTGGTCTCGCGGTCTGCCGACGTTTTGGTGTTCGCGTCCACGCTCGCCTCTATGATAGGTACCAAGTATCTCATTCTCCTACCATCGTCGTTCGACTTTCAAGTCTAGCTACCACGAGCTGCTGACTCTGCTTTCCTCCCCCCTCGTGTCCGATTTCATCGTCTTTCTCATGTGCTTGCTGCACAGCCGGGTCTCGTGCCGGATCCCATACCGGGGCCGGGCCCAGCCGAACGGTGTTTGTCTCGTCGACTGCCTGGTGCTCGTTCTAATAGGTGTTGAATTTTTTCTGGTGTCGCTACGTAGGTCTTAGAAAATCAACGATGCGTTGGTGTTGTTGTCTCTGGTTGGTGTGTAGGCAGCGGCGGATCCCAGTGGGGACTCGAGCAGGAGCCGGTCATGCAATCTCACGCGGCGAGTGATATGTAAGTACTCACTTACATAAATTCCTAGATAAACCTGTTAACTCAAAGGATTACAGGCCGCGAGCGGTAGCTAACACGGTTAGTGAGTCGAATTAGCTTACTTCATTGTGTCTCTGAGGTTGAAAATATGCACTTAGATTAGTTGCTGATCTTGTTGCTCTGTTTTCGTGATGCTCGTCGACGATTCGCTAACAAAACAATCACTCGACTGAGCAACGATGCAGTACCGCAGAAAACCAAAAAAAGATATAAACAGAACCACGGTTTGAACCGCAGCAAAAGGGCGTCCTCCCCAAGGTTGCTAGCCTTGTACAGCCGATGGACCTTCTCACCACCTGGGAAATTCACTACCACTGAGCCATGATCACTGCTTGGTGGTTTCGCTGAGAACGAAATCTTGAACCCACGATGCATCGATAACCCACTAAAATCAATTGTCATAATGAACGAGAGACCATATGTACGAAAAGAAACAGAAACAGATATACAAAGGAGAGAGATATGTATATGGAGATATAAAGAAAGTGCTTAGGAACCTGGGCCAGTACTCCGTACTCCGTCGTCGAAACCCCTTGACACAAAACCTGCTGAGTCAACTCCCTATCGGACTCTCAATTTGAGGTGCAGTTCGTACCTAAAGCGTGGAGGAAAGACCCGTGATACAAATCACCGCGGACTACCTCTTCCATGACAATCTACAGATGGGGCCGTGGATAACCCATTCCTCGCCCTCCTCGTCCGTGTCCTCCTCATCGCGTTCTCTCCTCACGTCGCCTCCCTCAATTTCGACCCCCTTGTCGTCGTCCGCTTCTTTCGCTTCTTCCTTCGAGCACGGCGATAGCTTATAGTGCTTGAATCGCGGAACCCACACACGCCTGAAACACACCTCGCATGCAGAATCCACACACTTTTCCACGCGGGAAAGAATCCCTCCAGACTCCTTCGGAAGTAGAAGCCCGCCTCGCTCGACCTCTGCTCGATAGCGATGGATGTGGACCGGACAGACTGCTGTTGGGCAGCAAAGGAGTAGCCCCAACTTGGCCCTGTTTGTGGAACCACGCCAGTGATTCCGGGTCTCAAACTGCCCGGTGTAGGCGGTAATGCAACACCACGGGCAAATCACATAGTCGCCTGTGGGCGTAGTCGATCCACCATTCGGCGCACAGAAACAACACTCTCCGAGAACAATGTCGAAGCGAGAATCGTACCTGTCCGCGTCGAGTTCGGCGGGGTCGAGATTACACATCCGAAGCGCACGGTACCATAGCAGAACGAGAGCTTGTCTCGTTGGGAGAGGGGTCTTCCAAGCGGCCAGCGACGGTGTACGTCCATGATGGTCGATTGCACGGAGATTCGCGCCCTCATTCATCAGGAAGACTAAAGCCTGAAAAAGGTCGTCATAATTATAAGTGACCCGGTGCCAGTAAGGCTCGTATTTAAATTAGAGGAAGAATTGATGGAGCACAGTGGAGCCGGTCGTCGGCACGGAAGCTCTAACGTCTGCACCCCTGCTGAGCAGCTCGTGCAGGGCCTCCTGGACCTGGGCCCAACGATAACCCTCGGCGAAACTTCGCCCAAGTGCTATGAGCGCAGCCGCGGCGGTTCTATCTGGGACTAACACTGACAGAGGGATATTGGCATCCCATCCCATATGTATCAGTGTCCGAACGGCTTTGGTGTTTGCATGCAACAGCGCCTGTTGTGCAAAGTGCCGTCCATCCGCACAAGGTACAAGCTCAGCCAGTGCCATGAGGGTGCGTGGACTTGTATTTCCTGCTAGAGCAGCGCTGAGAATATCTCCGGGGTCTTCCTGCAGTAATGGATCAGCACCGCGCAGCAGTAGAAGCAAGGGAAATTCTGCCCATTCGATTGTGTGAGGTAGTGTGGCGGCATAACATTGAAAATAACATTCTAATAGATGGATTCCGATATCACTCGTCACATTAGCCCCTTCGTCGAGTAGGCTGACAATGGTGGAGTGGTGTCCGCCGCGTAACGCATACTGACGAAAGGATCAGTTTTGCGCTTTGACCGATGCAACCTCAGGAAGCCCACTACAAGCGGTGTTTCCCCACGACGATTTCTATCGTTGGATGACGCCAATCCTTTCCGAAAAAGATCCAGGATGCCAGCAAAATCTCCCTCTGCGGCAAGTTCGAAGATCGGGGCATCGTGCGGCAGTATGTTCTGCTTCGAGAGGGTAATCTACGGGAAGGAAAGAGACCAAGCTTGCTGTCGTGCTTGCATCGAAAGCCGTAACTGAAATTGTTCGAATATTGTCTTCCACGTTACAATATTGGCCTGGAAAAGGTACTGGCTACCCAACAGCCGGCCGGAAGGTGTCACAGTCTTCATGCTAATGTGTTGGACTTGCTGAATGCCCCAACAACTAGAGCAGTGGCAACGTTCGGAACAGGCTCTCCCCATGGAACTTTTAAACCAGCCTGTACGTCTGCGACCCCGGAAAGGTGTTGAGACGGCCATCGAACTTATCTTCGGGCTGAGAGGCGACTGCGGATGTGGGACGCATTTGAATTCCATTGCTAACCTAGCTTCTAATCTCTGCGGGAGAACAGCATCTCGAGTATAGGAGCTTGGAGGAGCGATTGGGTGTTGACAACATCCACAAGGAGACGCTGTATATGACACCGATTTCCTGTACATCGGTCCTTCAGCGTCCCACCTTCCTGCTACGCGTATGGAAGTGGAAAGCGAAGCGGGGCACTTACTGGGCCGCAAGTGAGAGCACAAGATTGAAAGCACCGATATGCGAATCCAGCCTTTTCCCCAACGCATCGACCTCGCCGCCCTTTCCGAGCGTCCACTTCGTCTTGACCCAGCGCGTTGGGTCGCCCGCGGTTCCCGTCAGGTCAACTGCGAATCCGTGCAGCGTCTTCAGGTCCTTCCTGAAAGCGTCGAGGTTGAGGCCGCTGCGGAACAGCTCGTCCGCGGACAGCGCGTTGAGCTCTTCGAGACGTGCCATGACTGACTTGAGCGTGGCAAGTGAATCGTGGACCCGAACGATGGCTGTCGGTGCGTCTTTCCACGTGTCCACGAGTTTCGAGTACTTCACGACCAGGAGATCCGTGAGGGCAACGAATCCGGCGATGCTGGCGGCGACTTCCATGGCTGCTTGTGTAGACTTGGTTGTCCGTGCGGGGCTGCTTGCCTTCCAGCTACTCTGAGGCTGAGTTCTATATATGTGCCCGGCTTTCGTGGCATTGCTGATGTTGTACGACCATGAAGGTACTTAATGCAAGTACTTGGAGAGGCGGTGTCAACGGCGCCTGCGCTTGGTGAAGTCACCTGATTTTGGCGTGCGTCAAACCGGTAATGGCGGCAACAAGTAGCGAGCTGTGAAGAAAGTGCTAAAGCAAGTTGCTAAGAGTCTTCCATAAGCAAGAAGTAAAATACTAGAAAATATTGAGTGTACCGGAAGGCAAAAACATTCCGAGGGCTACCACAGTCAGCGCCGAGGGCAGTAAATGGCGGAGGGCGCGACGCTGATTGGAAAACAACGACTGGTGTGAAAATAAGTCAAAACCAGAGGCCGAATGATACAAGAAGTGTCCGCTATAAACATTCCGTGACATCAGCCCTCGGGGCGGTCCCAGTCTGATAGTGTTGGATACGGTGCTCTTCATAGATAGTCTTTGACCCACGGTAGCTACCTAGTCTCCCTCTCTCTACGTCTCCATTCCATCTCTAGATAATCCCACCCCACGATCCTTCACAGTCCCGGACTCCATGGAGATTCTTCGGCACTCCCCTCTCGGCGAGCTTGTTAAAGAAGCTCCCAGCCGAGCAGCCTGATCAACTCGATTGCGCCAGAACTTTCTACCCGCACCGGCATTTCTAGACGTCCTCGAAAGCTCTACTAGTGTTTCACCCTGCTTCGAAACCGGTGCTGTTGCTTTAATTGAGTCAACCCCAACTCGACCTTTTGTCGGAGGGGAAAAGTTCCACGTACCTGAACATCCGCCCCCAGAACGGGCTACCCAAACCACTATCGCGTACTCTGCTAAACCTCTTCCAGTGAATCGTGAAATTCCTGTTCCTCGTCGGAATCTTCGTCATCCCAATAGTCGCCATCTGACTCCAAATCTTCCATCGAATCCAGCAGTATCGTGTAGTGCGGGCGTGCGTTCCATTTACTGCTCTCGGCTGTACATATCGCGCATACGGGTTCCGCACACTTCCGGACCCGACGGAGCACACCCCCCGACCTTTTCGGAAGCAGAAACCCGCCTGTCGACTCGGCCGCCGAGCGATATCGGTGGGACCTACAGACGGCGGTTGGGCAGCAAGGCGTGACGTCCAGCTCCGGGTCTCTTTTAGACCCGTCGTATTCAACCGCGGTGTTGCGTTCGTAATCGCACACGTATGCTTCTCGGTGGCACCACGGACACAGCAGGAAGTCGTACGCTGTGGACCTCGCATCCAATAAGCAGAAGTAACATTTGGCGAGAACGACGTCGAAGCGAAAATCGTAGTCCTTGTCGAGGTCGGCGGGATCGAGATTGCACATCCGAAGAACACGGTACCATACCAGAACACCTGCTTGTTGGAGGGGCGAATCCCAGGCAGCTCGGGTCGGTGTACGGTCCTGTCGATCAACGGCACGAGGATCCGCTCCCTCGCCGATTAAGAATGCTAGATACTGACAAACATCGTCGTATCGATATCGGGTAGGCCATTCTGGATCGTTCTCTGCTAATGACGAAAAGAAGTCGTGGAGCACAGTGGAACCGGTCGTCGGCACCGAAACCTTCATGTCAGCACCTCTACTGCGCAGCTCGCGGAACGCTTCGCGGGCCTGTGGCCACTCGATAAGCCCCTTGTAGAGACTGTTCGCAACCACCATGATTGGAGTCACCGTGGTTCCGCCCTCGACCACGAGTGGGGCGTTGGCATCATGTCCCATCTGCAATAATGCGCGGATAGCCCCTGGATTTGCCCATTTCAAGGCCGCTATGAAGTGGCTATCTTCCACACGAGGCACGAACTCGGCCATCGCCTTTATCGTGCCCGTGCCTTGGTAGAATGCCAAAGTATCCATGAAAAGACCGCCAGGATTATCCCACAGGAACGGGTCCACACCGCGCTCCAGGAGGAGCAGTGGAAAGTCTCCCCATTCGGGCTTGTCCACTAGTATCGCCTCAACCAATAACATCATGCCATCATCATCCGCTACGTTTGCTCTTTCCTCAAGCAAGTCGAGAGCGGTGGAGAGATGTCCGTTGCGGACCGCAAATTGATGGAACCGTCAGCGGGGGTGGTTTCGGCAACAGCAATCTCGGGCTCTCGAGTGACTCACCAAGAGCGGCGTCTGCCCGTCGACAGTTCTATCGTTGGGCGAAGCCGATCCCATCCGAAAGAGATCGATGATGCCAGCAAAATCCCTTCCTAGAAAGCTCGAAGATTGGGGCGTCGACCGGCAGTATATTCTGCTTCGAGAGGGTGATGGACGGGAACGAAAGCGACCAGGCCTGCTGTTATGACTGCAGTGAAAGTAGAAACCGAAACTGTCCGAAAGTTGTCACCCACGAAACGAAATCGATGGACAGAAGAAGTTGCGTGTCCACGGTCTGGCCGGAGTGAGGTGTCACGGTGGCCGTCTTTAGGTACTGTGATTGTCCGATCCCTCAGCAACGAGCGCAATCCTTGGAACATGCTATCGCTTTCGTGCTCTGGTGGCCGCCGATACGCTTGCCACCCTGCAAGACCAAAGGCCCCGCCGTGGATTGTGGTCGTGAATCCGAGATACGTGACTGCTGCGAATGCGCAATAAATGATCTTTCAGGCGTCCCCATCCTTGTATAAATTTTCTGAGTAATATCCAGCTGAGCCTCAAGCTTGGGAGTGTGGACGGTCGATTGGGTGTTGGCGATATTCTGGAGCTTCACGACGTGCTGCTGTATATCTGACACTGTTTTCCTGTAAATACGTTTAGCAACGTTTCAAAAGTTTGACGGTAGCGAGTGAGCAGCGATGCACACGAGACGAGATTGAACTGGCATCACGCTCGAGAGCTTGGTCTTCGTAACCATGGGACCAGAACAGCGAAGGCGCACAGTGATCAGTAACTCGAACACCAGTACGGCTACTATTGATGAAAATTATTCTCAACCCTGAGCCCGTTGACCCACTCAGAGTCAGCCATCTCCGGAAACATAGGTGTGCTGCAAACAGGAGTACACCTTTGTCGAGAATAATCGGCCTCCACCCTTATCCGTGGAAAGACTTCGGCCTCACCGGAGACCGCCTCCGGTGAGACGCCACTCCAGTCCGGGGCTCAATGCTCGAGACGTCTCGTCTCGTGTGCAACACTTGGAATGAGGTACTAACTGAACCGCAAGCAACAGGACCAAGCTAAAGACTCCGATATCCGAATCCAAGCTGCGGCCCAGCTCCCTGGCCTTTTCATTCTTCCCGAACGTCCACTTCGTCCTGGCCCAGAGTTTCACGTCGCTTGGAGTTTTCAACAGGTCATCCGCCAGATCTTCCAGGGACTTCATGGTCCGCTTGAAAGCCGCGATTTTGAGACCATTGCGGACCAGCTGGTTAGAGGACAGCGCCTTCAGCTCTTCCAGACACACCACGATCGGCTTGAGGGTGCGGAGGTAATCGCGGATTGAAACTATGGCGCTGGGAGCATCCTTCCAGGCGTCGACGATCTTCGAGTACTTTGTGACGAGGAGGTCGGCGAGCGCGATGAATCGGGCGATACTGGCGGCGACTTCCATCGCTGCGTGTGCTGAGCGTGCGAACGGACGTCCGGAACTGTTTCCTCCAGCTACATGCTATCTTACTGCGGAGCTGGCGTTTATATGGACGTCTTTCATGGCACTGCCCCATGCCACAACATCTTTTGATTGGGTGGATGAGGATGCAGGTTCGGCGCTTATTCGATTTCTGATATATCTGAGACACACTGCAGCCTGCCGGTCATTCTTGTTGCGGCCCGTAAGGCCTTTGTTGTCGGAGCGGCGTGTTTGATCGAGTGAGGTTTGTGCACGGCTCACGAGGAAGGTCCTAGTTCGTCTGGAACGACTATAAGTACAACTAGAAGTTCAGCTAGAATAATAAGAACTACATCTTCTTCTTCTTCCGACTGCCTTCGGATCGGATCCCCTCTCGTGCGCCCCAAACCTCCAGATCGTGCATCAACAATTCTGTGGCTTCCGCCGGCCAAGGAGATTTGCGAACAACTCGGGGAGCTTCCCGCCGTACGTCCCGACGATCCCGCGCGGTGCAGGCGGTCGATGATATCGTCATCTCTGCTGACCCGCCGAACGGAGTGTTACGTAGGTACGGTTCGTCTCGAATTCATCCTCAGCGGCGCGCTGTCACGGCCACTTTTATCTCCTTCACTCTCCCGGCACAGTCGGCGTGGGCCAGCTTGGGTAAATCACCCAGTCACCCAGTCACCCGCGGAGAGAATCTAGCACTATAGCAGGTGGATGAAACCCCCTTCTTGTGGAGAACGGACTCTGCAGCCCCTGTCGTTCCCCATGTCCCTCTGATCCAGGTCCGCACCGGGAGTGCCCGTAACTGGTCCCGGTCGCCAATCTGCGGCAACTGTCCCACAATATCGTTGCTTATAAAATCCTCTGCAATCTGGTTTGTTGCCGCCGCGCGGAACGTGTAGCCTTCCCGCACACTACTTGTATGGTAGCGAGACGAGTTGGCAACGAGACGGTACTCCGTCAGATTCGCCTCGCCGTGCAGTCCCATGGCGAACTCGAATGGTGATCATCCGACACGGCGAGAGTCGAGAGTCGAGCAATCCTAATTGAGTGCCGGTATGGCACAGCATAGCAGACTCCCACGGTCCCCCTCCCGCGTTCGGGCGACCGAAGACCTTGCAACTCCCTACCGCCAGCAACTTCCTGCAGTCAGCGCCAACTGCGGCGCCTATGCCCGCTGCAAAGCTGAGCCTAGCCCCCGCGTTGACTAGAGTAGCGACAGCACCGCCACCAATAAGCAAATCTGAATTCCGACCCAGCTCTAAGCCCCCTCTAACGATGCGGACTGTTGTCCTCCCGCAAATCGAGGTCGTGGGCCTCGTCGATCCAAAGCTTGAGGAAAATTCCTCGAGAGTCACACCAGATTTCGCAAAATCAGCCGCTGCCGTCGTCGTTGTCAGTACATCGCGAGGAACGGAGACCAGGCGGTAGTCCGGCTGCTCATTGACGGGGTGAGCCGACGGCCAGGCTGTGGGAGGTAAATCGTTTGTTTTTTGTTCAATCATCATTGCGCCCGACCTTAATAGATCATGGCAGATACATATCCGTTTCCACCCAGCTGTCACTGGGAGGTAACTAATTCGTTGAAGATTCACGCCAGAAAAAAACTACAAACAGAGCACATTTCGAGTGATTATCTGTGCGCGCCCGCTGCCACACTTGAACCATCCCTTCGGCCCGAGCCCAGACCAGTTCATCATGCAGTCCCGCAATTCCTCCCCAGCTTCCAAGTCTAATCACAACTGAGGCACCATAGGGAATCGAGCAGTGCTCGCGAGGTCTCCGATGTTGCCGTTGTCGTCGTGGCTGAAGTTGTGCTCTCTTCCACCAATACTCTCAGCTCCGCCAGGGCGTCTGAGATGTATTAAACGAGGATATCTGTTTCGATCCGTTGTATGTATAGACCTTAACTTGGCCAATAACTAATGCTTAGGTATAGATGAGAGTGAGCGGGCCAAATACAGAGATTATAAGGAGATACAACGACAAATTCCGTCATATACGTCTTCCAAGGTTATCTCAGAGTACAACTATTCGAGCTGCTAGGGGGGGTTCGACAATTCCGCTACGTCAAGACTTGAAGACGACAACTCTGACGCCTCATTCCGGCCGGATCCTGGACACGCAGTACATTGGTATTTTTTCGGGGTCGATTTCATGACGTGGAAGACGATTTTTGGACGGTTTCGGTTACGGGTTGCGATTGCAGTTTTGCCAGCAAGCTTTGTCTCAGTTTTTCCTATCAATTGCTCTTCCAAAGCAGAACAGACTGCCGGACGATGCTCCAATATCCGAACTTCCCCGCAATGTGGAGGCTCTCAAAGCTGGAGCCTGGAACCCTTGAGGTCATTCGGGCATTTTTTTAGACCGTGGATGTGATGTTAATGCACCGCTTTTATTTTTTGGCGAGGCGAAACCAGTGTCAGTGAAGGAATCCTGTCGAATGTCCTCGAGGTACCAAGTAGGGCGGGCGAGTGACCGATGATCGACTCAATGGTATCAGTTTGTGAGATATCATAGGAAACCGGCTTAACCTACTGGTCCCCGACCCCGAGCGACTCGGCTCAGGAGGTGGTATGTCTTATGGTAGGATGAATTCTCGTGCCGAGATGGCGTTTGGAACGACCTCATTCCTTTGACGTGCGTATGGACACTGAACAAGGGACCAAGCGCTTTTGGTCGTTGCCCGACCGCTCGAGAAAAGCTTAGCCAGCCTCAATACTTGGAATGAAGGGATACCGGTAGAAGATAGACAACGAGTGATATATCTAGCATCTACTCTTCCAATTGAAGAGAGCAACGCCCCGTGAACAAGGCGAACAGGACGGGAGTTTGATTAACAACTGATAAGCCAAATATTAACTATTGCCCAAGGGCATTCACTGTATGCATACTCATCGCAAAATTTCCGTGCCAACACCCCTCTAGGCTCTCGTCCCCCTAAATCCCCGCCAGCCCCTCCGCTAATACCGCAATCCCCACCGCCCCGGGATCCGGAATATCACCGATGTGGTCTATATAAACGGTTCTCCCGAGCCTGGGCATCATCCCCTTCGTATTCTCCGCACCCCTTCTCGCACTCCTTGCCGCCGCCGTCAGATCCTTTTTCTCGTGCAGAGTCTGTAGGAACGGATGGAGGGCATCCATGAGTGTGCGATCACCCGGCTGCGCCGGCGTATACCTTCCCATTTCGTGCATAGCTGTGAGGGCCGCCTTGCTCCACGTGCCGATGTCGGCATGCGTCTTGCCCGGACTGTCGTCGCGGAGCGCTTTGACAAGCGCGTTGAGGTATATGCTGAAGAGCGCCCCCGAGGTGCCGTCCATGTTCTCTTCCACCACGTTGGCTAGTTGCGAGATCGTGCTTACCGGGTCGCTGCTCACCCGTCCGGTTGAGATAAACGCTTGCACGGCTTGCGCTCCGCGTTTTAGACCTATGCCGCAGTCGCCGTCCCCGACGAGCGTGTCGAAGCGTGTTAGGAGGGGCTCGGCCGCAATGAGCTTTTGGAGACCCGGGGAGACTATCTGCGAGAAGTGGGCAGTGTCCACTGATTTCTCGTTAGCTGGCGGGATTTTTTGTTTGAGCGGATGGTGACTAACTCTTAAGGCAAGATGTGGGGATTTGCTCGAATTCTTCCAGAGGGCAAGGGGGGGAGGTCTTGACGGAGGCCCAGGTGGAAGGTTTGACGGAGGCAGTCCAGCCGAGGGTTTCGTGGGCCGCATCCAGGAGTGAGATCATGTCCTTGCCTGGGCCCAGCCCGGTATCGACGACACGGAGGAGAGTGATGGAGAAGCCGCTACCGTTGAGAGAAGTCATGAACGTGCCGGTGTATATACGCAGAGGCTTGACTTTGTATTGCGCGGCTACAAACAATCAGTCTCCGAACAGCGGCCAATCATATAAAGGACGACATACCGAGTCTATCCACGACCTTGGCCGTGATACCGCCTAGTTCCAGTGGGGAAACGCCTCCAAGGTTGTTGATCATAAGCACCCATTCCTTGTGGTCTTTAACGTCGAGATAATTCCTGTCCTTATCACTCTTGTCGAGCAATTGCATCAGCATAGCATTGATCAACCTGGAAACCTGCGAGATCTTCATCCTCCTGCACCCGCGTTCATTATGAATCCCCATGCCGAGCTCAATCTCATTCTCCTCCAACACACACTCCTGCATTCCCGTTGTTCCGGGGATATGCACATGGTCGAGCGCACTGCCGAGGGTGACGAGGTTCCTAGTAATGAGTCTCGCGAGCTCCGCCGTCTGCGACAATCCCGCGCCGGTGGCCGCAAGCGCACCAACAATCTTCTGAACGAGCACGGTGCCGGCCATTCCGCGCCGCCCGACCTTCCCGCTCTTCTCGCGGCCGACGCCAACGTCCTCGCCCACAACCACCATCTCCACGTTGAGCCCGAGCGCCCGCGCTTTCTCCGTTGCGAGGCCGAAGTGCAGGACGTCGCCCGTGTAGTTCATTACGATCAATAACACGCCGGTGTTCGCCCCGGCCCGCTGCGATATGCAGTTGTAGATTTGCTTTACCGACGGAGAGGCAAAGATGGTGCCTGAGACCGCGGCACGCAGGATCCCCTCGCCGACAAAGCTGCCTTCTATCAGTCACCTGGATGGAGTGCATGGGACGTGAGGAAGTACCCTGTGAACGATGGCTCGTGTCCCGCACCGCCGCCGGAGACGAGAGCGACGGTGTCCGGCGAGGACGACTTGCGGTAGATAATCTTGTTGACTTCGTCGAGGGCCACAGAGGGGTTCGCATATTTTGCGGCCTTGAGGGCAGCCATTACAAGGTCCGTTGGATCATTGATGAAGTGTTTGTCTGTTTGTTCATACCCGATCAGTTTACACCCCAGTGTCCATCCATGGAAGAAAAGAGACTCACTCATCATGGTCCGTGCTTTCGAGGTGATTAAGATTCTCGGTATTGGTATCGCTATTAGGCCCGCTAAACTGAGGCGGGATAGGTTATTATTATTGAGGTATCGTATGCTCATTCAATATCACAACATACAGCGAAGAAACCGCAGCCTTTAAGTGGGCTCGGCCACGCAGAAATGAGCCCTTCGCCCCCCCGTACAATCATCATTCCGCCGCCACCGCTCCGTAATGTCCTGGCCACGGGGGTACGGCGAGGGAGATACTTATCAATCTCCTCCGTGGGTTGGACGGCAAGGACCCTAATTAAGGACCGATCCGATCCGCACAATTGTGTAACCATGTCGTTGTGACGTTCCAGCGGGACTCACGTACTAGTACTGTAGCATTTCCGGGGTTTCCTAGGTGCTGATAGACTCTAGAGCAGCGTACTCGTACATCCGGTCCGAGCGACCCAATCACCCTTTCGTCACCTCCCCTCACCTCCAACGACATGCAATGACCATCCCGACCAACATCCTGCTGCAACGCCAACTCCGGCTTCTCCGCTCCTCGGTGCTCGTGGTGCTCTGGACCCACCTGGTCTGGTCGAAATGCTTCTCGATCGGCGCAACCATAGGCCCGTCCATGCTGCCCACCATCAATGTCTCCGGCGACTGGGTGCTCATCTCGAAGTTCCACACGCGTGGCCGCGAGGTGCGCGTCGGTGACGTCGTCTCGTTTAAGCACCCGCACGATGGTGGCGATGTCAGGGTCGTCAAACGCGTGATCGGGCTGCCGGGGGATTTCGTGGTGAAGGATCCGAGCGATGGCTCAGGGGACATGTTGCAGGTGAGAGATAAATAATTCACTTGTTCACTCAGGGCAGTGCTGAGGAGAGGAGTAGGTGCCGAAGGGTCACATGTGGGTTACTGGCGATAATATGCCGCATTCGGTGGACTCGAGGTTTTACGGACCAATTCCATTGGCGATGGTGAGTGGCAAGATCATTGCCCGCGCAAGGCATCTATGGAAATGGTCGTGGATGAGGAATCCTCTGGATGAGGAGATGATGCAGGTCGATTGAGCGATCGAACTACATGGACTGAATCCTATCTACATACAACCATGTCTCTACACTATTCCTTCTCTGTAGATTCTAAAATACATGGGACGCCTTCCAACCTTGCATCCCCGTTTCGTTTGATATTTTACAGACAAGCGCTTCGTCGTCACCGGAACAATCACTCGTCCTTTACGCGCACCAGCATCCTATCCCAGCCCTCCAATCCGTGCTTCTGCATGATCTGCGCCGTGTTCTCGTCCCACTCCGATCTGAACAGGAAGGCACCGATGGCCTTGAGTTTCTGCTTGGCCTGGAAATTCCGTGTGTTGAATCCATCGCGGATGATCTTTCCCTTCAGGGCCTCGGCATCAATCTTTCCCTCCTGCTCGAAGACGATCACGGAGTAACGGTGGTAGGGAGATCCCTTCTGTACGTGCGGAGGAAGCCAGTCCACGATGGTATCTGAGGGTTGGGCTCCAGTGCCAACGGCTTGTGTTTGCGTTGGTGAGATTACGATGTTCGAGACCAGCCAGTGTAGTCGGTAATCGAAGGAGTCTTTGGCAACGTTGGGGACGTCTTCAGGTGGGGGTTTTGTGAGTAAATTGCAAATAGCTTATTTCCCTGTACACGCAGGAGTGGGGGGACAATTCGACATACCCGAGTCCACAACCACCACAGTGCAAAGCTTCTTCCCCGTAGTGAAAGGAATGACCTTGAATGTCGGCGGGGCCTCCGTCTTTGAAGAGTCCAAGATCGTGCCGGGCGGTACATCGTATCCCCAGAACCGCAGCTGCACATCGACCACGGGATCAAGCACGGGCAGCACGTCGGGGATCACGCTCAGCTGCGTCAAACGCTGCATCAGAATCGGCCGTCGGTATTCCCTCCATTTCCGGTTTGCAAGGAACCTGTAGACCGGCTTGTTCAAATTGACTGTGTAGAACGCAATAAACATCAGCGACGGCCCTTCCTCCTTCTACCATCACAACCGCCGCCGATGCCGGGGGGGGGGGGGGTCATCGTACTTGTTCCCCGGTCAAAGTTGTACTTGACTCTGGGGTTGTTGATATCAGCCTGGATCTGCAGATATTCCAGGTGCTTAGTCAATTCCTTGATTCGATGATGGTTGACCTTGTCGCCCTCCCGCTCAACGATGTCGGCGATCTTCTTTCGTTGGTAGGCAACAGCCTCCATCTTCTCCAAGCGGTCGGCGCGAATCACTTTGAGCGCGAGTTGGTACGTTTGGAACGGCATGCTCTCTATCGTACGCACTCTTGCGGCTCCATCGTCGCCGGCTTTTAATCTCAAGCCGCGGGAGAGCACGGTAGGACCGCTGCAGGAGATCGTGGGGCGCAGTCCGTGCGCCGTGAGCGACCGCACGCAGTTCATGGTGGGTGAAGAAGGTGTCGGTGGTTGGTGGGGCGGGGGTTGGCGGGTGGGTTGCAGTTGAGGCTGTTAATGAAAGTTGAGCTCAATCAGCAGAAAAAAAGTAGCCTCTTCCGGAGAAACCCTGCAACCCTTCCTTCACCATCGAGACTCAAGAGCCTCCTCCATCTCTACGCTCAACTCACCAACTCACCTCCGCCGCCCCACCCCGCCGACCGCGAGCGTTCGAATCAGCAATCATGGCTGCCGTGCGATCGATATACTCCAAAGCTGGGCTTTTCTCCGGCAAAGGCAGAGTCGGCGTCGTACAGGATGTGCTGAAGGTGCGACCGACGCCCATCGATATTGACTCCCCCGATCTGGAGAGCAGCATGCTGACTGATTGTCGGATCAACAGCCGTTGTTCGGATCCTCACGGCCAATGGCCACGGAGGCCGCCTTCAACCACGTCCGAATCATCCCCGCCGAGCCTCCGGCGCCTGTTCCCTTCGCGATCCGAAAAGGTGACACACCCGTCATCCTCCGACGCACGGCAAAAAACCACAACTGACACGCCTCTCATGTAGCACCCACGGTCCTCGCGACACTACACGAGTTCCCGTCGATGGAGCCCGCGCGCTTCGAGCAATTCCCGAGCACCTTCCTCCACGCCCCGTTGCGCCGCGACATCCTTCACAAAGCGATCGTCTACGAGGGAGACGCCCACCGTTGGGGCCGCGCAAAGGTCAAGACCCGTGGCGATGTCCACGGTAGTAGCCGCAAGATCCGGCCGCAGAAGGGAACAGGTAAGGCGCGTCTCGGTGATAAGAAGTCGCCCATGCTGCGTGGTGGAGGTGTGGCCCACGGCCCGCATCCTAGGGACTTTTCCAGTGACCTGCCGAGGAAGATTTACGATCTGGCTTGGAGGACGGCGTTGAGCTACCGGTATCGCCGTGGAGAGTTGTTTGTGGTCGGCAATGAGTTGGAGATAGGACTGCCGGATGCGGGGCTTGCTGCGGCCATCTTCAAAGTCCATGACTGGGGACATGATGCTTCGCGCTCGCTCTTGATTACTGCTGAGCTTAGGCCGAATATGGAGGATGCTATGAAGGTTTTGGGTGCGGAGGGGAGGGTTCTGACGGCGGATCAGGTCGATGTGAAGGATCTCGTGAGTTTCCCTGACTGGGCGCCGCCCTGACCTATCTACATATTTGCAAGAAGACAACTGACGTCTTCTCCGTATCGCAGCTGGAGACTGGAAGGGTCATCATCGAACGGGAGGCATTGGCATGGTTTGAGCAAGAGCACGGCATCGATGCTGCATAAGATGGATAACCAAACAGGAGAATAGACCAAAATGTATATTTATGTACGATATAGAAATAGCATGAATATCGGCCGTGACAGCAAAAATTCCGCAAGTCAATGGCCGCATAACGGGCCTCCAATCGCATGAATCTCCATGTCTGTCTGTCGTCTGCCTCTCGTGGCCACCCCTCCCCCACCCCCGGTTTAGCGCATGGTGGGGCAATTAACGTCGCTTGCAAAATTCTGGTTACACACACACGTCCGGTCAGACCCACGCAGCGCCGACGATCAGACAGCCAGACAGCGACATCTTCTCCCTCGGCCCATCCAACGCACGCCGCATTGCGCCGAACCGTCCAACCGCCCAACCTCCCCCCCCCCACCCACCCCTCTCCCCTCCATTCCTTTATACCCGTACGACAACCGACAAAAAGGATGGTTCTCCGGCCCGTGCTCAGCTGCGTCCGCGCACCACGAGCTTCCTCCTCCTCCATCTTCTCCACCATTACACGACTGGCAATGCCTCTGCGCGCAAAGATCTTGCACCCTGCGTTTACGCAGTCTATGGTATGTTTGTTTGTCGAGCCAGTTCACTGTACCGTACCCGGGATTGACGCGTGGGAAAAAAATAGTCTTCGAAAACGACCCCACCCTCGCTGCGAAAGAATAGCGATCCCGACGATGTCCTGGTCGGAAGCACGTACGGAATGCGCACCATTGAGCTCAACCGCCCCGCGAAGCACAACTCGCTGAACGAGTCCATGATCCGCAAGATTGTGCCGCGGCTGCAGGTCTTTGCTCCCTCCTCCTCCTCCTCCCGTCTACAGGTGGTGGTGGGCTCGGCTGAAATGTGGGGTGGATTTAGGAATGGGAGAAATCACAGCTGGCAAACCTGATCGTCATCAAGGGAGCGGGGGAGAAAGCGTTCTGTGCGGGCGGGGACGTAGCCGCGCTCGCCGAGAAGTGCATGAAGGGGCCCGAGGGAGTGACCGAGGCGATCAAGTTCTTCGCGCTCGAGTACCGGCTCAACCACCTGATCGCGACGTACTCGAAGCCGTATGTAGCGATCATGGACGGCGTGACGATGGGCGGCGGGGTGGGGCTCAGCGTGCACGCGCCGTTCCGCATCGCCACGGAACGCACGCTCTTCGCTATGCCCGAGACAAAAATCGGCTTCTTCCCGGACGTCGGCGGGTCCTTCTTCCTGCCGCGCCTAGACGGATACCTGGGTACCTACCTGGCCCTCACCAGCGCCCCGCTGAAGGGCGTCCACACCCTCTACGCCGGCATCGCAACACACTACCTGCACTCCTCGTCGCTGCCCGACCTCGAGCAGCGCCTCTCTGAGCTCTCCTTCGCCGACAACGCCTCGATCACGGAGCGCAACAGCATCGTCAACGCGACAATCGAGGAGTTCGTGACGGGCCTCCCGCCGAACGAGCCATTCGTGCTCTCGGGCGACCTCCGCCGGCGCATCGACCGGTGCTTCAGCCACTCGACCGTGCCAGAGATCCTGGCGGCGCTCACCGCCGACGGTAGCCCCTGGGCTCTCGAAACCATCTCCGCCATCAACGCGCGCTCGCCCACCGCCGTTCACGTCGCTTTACAGCAGATGCGCGTCGGCCGCGAGTGGACGATCGAGCACACGTTCCAGCGGGAGTACCACATCGCGGCACACTTCATGCGGCACGCGGATTTCGTCAATGGGGTATCCTCACTACTAATCCGCAAGGACAAGGTTCCGCCCGCGTGGAATCCCGCCACCGTCGGCGATGTCAAGCAGGAGGATGTAAACGCGTTCTTTAATCCTCCCGTTGGCGCGAGAAAGCTGGATATGTTTAAGCAGGGCGCCCCGGATTTTAAGAATTACCCGCATGCGTTTGGACTGCCGAGTGAGGAGGGGCTGGGCAGGATGGTTAAGAGGGGACGCTACACGCTCAGGGAACTCGTCGATAAGGTCGTCGATGAGTGGGATGGCAAGGAGGGAGTCAAGCAGAAGGTCGTCGATGTTGTCGAGAGACGCTGTGGAAAGGACGTCAATGGGTATCTCACGTGGGATGGGAGGGAGGATTAGTGGGGGAGGGCACGGGGTGGCCGGTGACGAGTGATCCAGAGTGCTTAGCTCTGCGCACATGTACAGTAAAATATGTAGTATGATACGTACCTTGTGTATATTGAGAAGGTGAACAGAGCGGATGTGACATCCACCCAAAACCATCGTGCAGAATCGACAGGGTTTGATAGAGTAGAGTACCTCTCACCCACCGCAGACCGGGCAACCCCTCCATCCACACACACACACACCCAGTCCACAGAGTCCACAGAGTCCACAGAGTCCACGCACCGAAGGGCTAATCGCAAAGTTGCGACCCCGCCACCACCATCACCACTACTACATAGAGTAACAAACGGCAGTACTGCACACACACCCTATATACTCTAGTAGAGTCACACATATATACACGCACTCTGACTCTGAGCTCTCTCTGGGCTCTCCGCACACACTCTCTCAAATAGTGAATAAGGTATGGTAGAGTATGGTAGATGATGGTTATACGCGGATCCAACACGCCTTCCACACCATGCCATGCCATGCTCATGGGAAAGTAGACTGCAGAATTGAGTTCTCTCGTACGGCACCACCACATCGCACCGCACCGCACCGGTGTTTTCCGCCGTGCAGTGCAGAGGGGAGGGAGGGATTGGAGGGGGGGTGGCGGAGATGGAAGTCCTTCCGTTCATCCATCCAATGAGTCAGTCGGGCAGTCGTCAAGCCATCCATCCAGTGAGCCATCCATCACGATCACTCCTCACATCGACGTTTCCTCGCTTTACCATTTCCGAAACTCCGAACTTCCGAAGTTCCGAGCTGGAGAATCCGAGCTGGAGAATCCGAGCTGGAGAATCCGCGCTGCAGAGCTGGAGATGCTGGTGCAAGAGGAACTGGAAACATCGTCGTGATAGCCATGTAAGTAAACGAGAGAACAAAGTTAACTATCATAACGACGTGACTACTAGGTGAGTTACATAAAACTACAATACAATCCTCCACTTCCCCTCCTGCTGTCTCCTCTCTCCCTCCGTCTCCTCAGATCCTCCTTCAGATCCTCCTCCTCAGATCCTCCCCTCAGTCCACCTCTATCAACCTCCGCACTCAACGAGTCAACATACATGAACCTCAGAAACTAAGTAGACATACCGAAAAACGACCACCAAATTCAAACCACGCCCCCACCCCCCACCTCGGACTCGACTGTCGATAAAAGATACTTAAATCATACAAAATACAAAATACAAAATACAAAATACAAAATACAAAAGGACACAAATCAAACCCCCAAATAACGCCAATCGCAGCGCCGCCACCCGAACCCCCCAGAGTAAAACAGTAAAATCGAGAAAAAAAAATCGCCCAGATTCCGGGTCTTTTTTTGGCACGAAAAAAGCAACGTAGACGTAAAAAAAACCCAAATAACAAGCGCCAGAGGGAATGAAATATGATGGATGAGAGTAGCAAGAGAAGGAAAGCGGGAATCACCGTTCCCGGGACCGAGACCGAAAAACAAGCAACAAGCAACAAATCGCCATGCAAAGGAAAGATCAAATCAAAAAAAGCAAGTACAAATGCAATCAAAATCAAATAGCCTTCCCAAGACTCAAGGAAAGAAAGCAAATACACCACCAACGCGAACAAACGAAAACGAAAACGAAAACGGACAAGGACAAGGACAAGGTAGGAAATACCAATTCCTGTACAGGACCTATTATTTTTTTGTTGTTGTTCGTTATTTGTTTCGGAACCGCCCCGGCCGTAAAGCCTCCCTTATGGCGCGCTCTTGAGCATCTCCAGGTCATATTCTCCGCCGTCCTGGAGCGCGGGGTGGATCTTGCACTCGGGTATATCCGCCGAAGACTGGGAGGTGTAAGAGTAACTCGATGCATTACTCGCCCTCGCGCTCCTTCCCAGCGGCCCATCTGCAAGCCGGATCGCCTCGTTGCTGAGATACTGTCGGATCTGCAGACACTCGCAGGTGTTGTGTTTCAGCAGTTCGTTCTTGAGCTGGAGGACCTCCTCCTTCAGCATCCCGACGCAGGCTTTCAACTGCTTGCTGGTGTTTTGCGCGTCGCGCGCGTCGCTCTCGAGGTCTTGCATCCACGCCTTCTTCTTCTGTCTGCACTTGCTGGCCGCTACGCGGTTGCGCTCCAGGAACCGCCGACGCTTCGCTTCCTGCACCTCGGGTGCTTCCTCGCTGGTGGAATTCTTGCGCGATTTGCGCACCGATTGCGTCGAGGAGCGGCGGCGTTTACTCGGTCCACCACCATCACCACCTCCACCGTCCTGTGAGCCTTCCCCCGAGTAGTTGCTCGATGTACGCCGCTGGTGCGCGGGAGAGGTGCGCGGGGACAGCTCCGGGGAGCCTTCGGGGGACATCAGACGTGTGGGGAGGATGAGCGAGGAGATGTGTGAGAGCGTGGGGGATTTGTGGTAGTCCTCCGGCGGAGTGACCTGACCGTGAATTGTGCGTGTGGAATCGTTGGGCATGTGGGAGATCAGGCTATCCAGTGGTGAGATATCACCGGGTGGCCCGTACTTATCCGGCTCGTCCCCGGAAGAGTCCGGCGGTGATGGCTGGCCCACGAACGAGCTCGTGATCTGTATCGGTGCGATTCCGTCTTGCTGTGCTCGAGACGCCTGCTGCGACTCCGCCACCGAGGTGGTGCTCATCGAGAGCGGAGGGGGCACGAACGAGGATGTGTAGCCACCGAGAGCTGGCGAGTCACGGAGGCCCCGCCATACGTCTGCGCTCGTGGGGGAAAGCTGTCGGTCCAGCGAGGGAGAAGCTAAGGGCGTCAATCGCGGGGAACGGAACGAGGAATCCGGCATTGATGTTTCCGGTCCGCCCTTCGAGTCACCGGCGGGAAAGTCAAAGTACGACTCGATCTCCATGAAAGCGGAATTGAAGAAGCCCGAAGGAGTCTCCGAGGTGGTGGTTTGCGATTGCTCCGACATGGCCGGCATGTTTGCGAGACTATCTTCCCGTCCAGGTGAAGTGAAGTTGTTGTTTCGTAGGTATTTAGAGCTAGCTCGAAGCTCGCCAGGAACAGAACAGAACTGAATCTCGAATCAATAGCTAGATCGAAGCTCGCCAGGAACAGAGCTGAATCTTTCGTCAATGGCGGGGTTTGTAGTGGTAGTGGGTGGTGGGAGGTGCAGCCCTTTTACGATCCGATCCTGAGTGATGGGCAGAACTCGAATCCTTGCGGTGGTACAGCTTTAATTGTGGGGGTGGGAAGGTGGTGGAGGATAAAGGCCTGCTGGGAGCTGCAGAGCATTAGATGAGATTTTCTGCTGGGGAAGAGGATGTGGTGGAGGAGGTGGTGGGGTGGTGGGGGAGGGCTTGCTTTCAAGAGCTTGCAAGCTGCGGTCGTTCTTGGGTGGCAACGGGGGTGGGTAGTGGTGATGGTGGTGGTGGTGGTGGTGGTGGTGGTGGTGGTGGTGGTGGTGGTAGTGCAGAAGTGCATATGGGGAACAGGGAATGGATGGGATTCTGCTCACAGAAAATATATGCGGGAAAAATACAATGCGTGTCCGTCCGGTTTGAGCACCACACAAAAAAGAGCTCACAACCTGCACGCAAGTGCGTCTTGGCCGATTGATTGATGTCCCTCGTGCGGACTGTGTGCGCGTTCAAAGATGGAGAGGAAATAAAACGGGCAATTCTCTGGGAGAGAGCTACGGAGATGAGTCGGTCGTGGGCCGGCAGTGCTCTACTTCTTGACTATCTCGTCCTTTCGTTGGATTGTGATATGTGAGCGATATATGCGAGATCCGGGCCTATGCTCTGCAACGTTGAACTGTGGGGCCGGCGAGCATGGACCGGAGAGAGAAAAGATGAGGAGGAAGAAGAAGAAGAGTGAGGTAGCAGCAATTGGGCAGGAGGCCGCGGGAGCTGGCTCAATGGACTATGGAACGGGGCCGATAGCTGCCAACAGCAGGCAGGCAGACAGGACGGGTAGGACGGCGCCGTAGTTACTGGTCTTACGCGCGTGGGTGTGTGTGAGAGAGAAAGAGAGAAAGAGATTGAGAGATTGTGTGTGTGTGTGTGTGTGTGTGTGTGTGTGTGTGTGTGTGTGTGTGTGTATGTGTGTATGTGTGAGTCTTCAGCTGGGAGGTAATGTGGTGGTTGTGGTGGTGGTGGAGTCTGGCCGGTTGCGTTCGCTATCGCTCTCGGTTTCTGCTCTCGGTTTCTGCTCTCGGTTTCTGCTCTCGGTTTCTGCTCTCGCACACTCTCTGCTCTCGCACAGCTCTACTGGTGAACCAGGTAGGTGCAGGGGCTTCTGTCTGGCTCGTGCGTGCGTGCTCGGATGCTTCAAGCCCAAGTCTCGCGAAGCCGATTTGTTCGCTCAAGATTGCCTTCGGTTCCAGATTTCAGGTATGTAGATATCTCACTGACGTCGAACCGACGGTACCGCTGGGCTCGTTACGATCGATCGGAGGGTGGTAGGAGAGTAGGAGAGTCCGATGGCGCTGGTGCCGGGCTCGTGCCGAAGATTAGGCGACGATGATGGTGGTGATGCGATCGGTGGAGCGTGCACGGCGGCGGTGGAGGAGGTGGAGGTGGTAGTAGTGGAGGTGGTAGTAGCAGTGGAGGGAGGTATCGAGGATGAATTGCTGGGCGGTTTGCTTGCTGAGGCGTAGGCAAGTTTGTATGTAGACGTTGACGTTCGTGAGAAGGCTCCGGGCAAGCAAGTTGGTAGGTACGGTAGAAGTTAAACGGCTGCTGCTATGATGTACTGCTTCACTTCGCGAGATACACACACATCGCGACGACCAGGAACAGCCAGGCTATACAGTAGTTATAGCAAGTACGTTTTCTCTCTCCTCGACGATCACCTACCACTGCTACCACCACCACCACAACAACGGTACTGCCACAATCCGGGCAGTTCTGCGGGTGGTGGTGGTGAGGGGGGGGGGGGGGGGGCTTGTGCTTCCTTGGCTCGTTGACCTTGACCTTGACCTTGGAAGCGGCCCACCATCAATTTAATCCAATCGAGATTGTCGGAGCGCAAGTCCACCCCCAGCAGCAGCTGCTGATCGACGGCAACGGGAACGTCTCGGGGGGGGGGGGGGGGGGGGGGGTGATGGGGGATAACTAGGCTAGGCTAGGCTGTATCGTAGATGTGTACTAGTGTGTAGAGTACTCTACTCCACTCTAGATATGATGTGTGTCGCACAGCCAGTCAGAATGTTTGCCGGGCCATGTGTGATGCGGTACGTAGAGTACTCTGCGTATTGTATATGGAGTAGAGTAGAGAAGATACAGCTACGGTGGTGATCTGGGCACACGACTCCGGTGGTGACGCGAGCACGATTCTTCGGATTCACAGCTATGCTCCGGGCAGTCGGCTTCACAGCAGTGCTCGCTCTGGGGGCACTCGGCTCCGATGCGAGCATCATTGCTCGGCTTGACGAGCAGCCCTCCCTCCCCCGCCATGCAGCAAGAGAGACACGGCTTTGCAGTACCGCGCCCGCCCGCCCGCCCGCACGCATTGACGCCTCGGCCAATTCCGCACCGTCATCGAAACGAGGGAAGCGCAAAGGTTCCTTCCATGTGCTCGGGCTCTTTCTTTCTTTTTCTTCTTGTTTTTCCTTTTTCCTTTTTCTTATGGGCTGGGAGGAAAGGAAAGAGGAGGAAGGAAAGGAAAGAAGAGGACATGCCACAGTGAGGCGGGCGGGCGGGCAGGCCAGCAGCGGACGGACGGGCTACAGCTGGCCAGAAGCGGAACAAACGGCGACGGAGGAATGGCCTTTGGCAGCCGGCCCAGCAGCGAGCGAGCCAGCACCCAGCAGCGAGCGAGCCAGCACCCAGCAGCGAGCGAGCCAGCACCCAGCAGCGAGCGAGCCAGCACCCAGCAGCGAGCGAGCCAGCACCCAGCAGCGAGCGAGCAACGAGCGAGCGAGAAAGAAAGAGAAGCGATCATAGATAGTGCACCATACTGCATACGCTCATCCATCATCCATGAATCCGTGAGATGCGCAATGCAAAATTAGAAAGAAAATCGGCATCAGCAACTGCAATCGGCTCTACCAGCGATTTGCGTGTCCACTGGTGTCCATGGTGTCCCACTGTCCCAACAGCCGAGGGGGGGCAGGGAGGGGGAGGGAGGGGAGGGAGGGGGGGCCATCAGCCTGGAACCGTAACCGGTTCCGGCTAGCTGCCGCAGCGAGAGAGGGAGGTGTGCGAGGTGCGGCGGCTTTGTCTGACGATGCGAGACACACTCGGAGCTGCCTCCCTGGCCAATCAGAATGGTGCGGGGGGGGGCGGATGGGAATGGTGGGGAGGAAAGAAAGAAAAGAAAAGAAAGAAACAAAGAAAGAAAACGGCCGTGAGGGGAATAACGCGGGGGAGGTGAACAGGTCAGAACGGAGGGCGCACGGGAGAGAAGGGAAGAGAGCTTCGTGGAATATGCCGGGCGCTGCTGGAGGGAGTGGGCTGGAGTGGAGGGGAGGGGAGGGGCACTGCTAGAATCGGCAGAGGAATAGTCAGCACTTCTCGTCTCGACAGAGTAGCACTGCGAGGCTCCATTCGGTAGGGTAGCACTGCGAGGCTCCATTCGGTAGGGTAGCATTGCTCGTCTATGCCAGAGCAGAGCAGCACTGCTCGAATCGACTCGGCAGAGTGATAGATACCTGGCACTGCTCGCCTCCATCATACCGGAGCAGAGCAGCATTGCGAGACTCGACAGAGCAGCACTGCTCGTCTCGACTCGGCAGAGGATGTAATCGCACTGCTCGCTCGCCTCCACCAGAGCAGAGCAACACTGCTCGCTCGCCTCCACCAGAGCAGAGCAACACTGCTCGACTCGGCAGGGCAATGGCACTGCTTCAACTCGTGTCTCCTCACGCACTCACCGTATTCAGCCACCCACCCCTCGATCCGGCATAGCAGCGTCCCACTGTCCCAGTCATCCCCCGCGTCCGAACGCTCGCGAAGCCACTTACCAAGCTACAAGGAAGCCACTTACCACTATCCACTCTGCAGTCAGCCACCTCAACCAACTGCTCACTCACATCTGCGGCGGCGAAACCCCGCGAACCAAAGTGGCGCATATCTACAAATCATATGTGGAAATCGGGGCGACACAAGAAATCGGATGCCGTTTCCCCGTCCACCCAGCCATCCATCCCAACCGACACACAGATATCGTACCCAGAGTAGCGCGGAGGCGTGGACCGTGGTGTATGTGGAGTAGAGCATGGCCGATCATGCCGTCATAACCCTCGTCCCCCCGGCCGCTCCTGCCAACCCGCACGCACGGATGTCACTTGCGAGATGGATGGATGGATGGATGGATGGGTGGATGGGTGGGTGGACAGGCGCGCACGCTGGACCGTGGATGGATGGATGGGATGGGATGGGATGGGAGAGAAACAATCTCAGGCACCACGTAGAGGACCTAGAGTAGGTACACAGACACACACACACATGTGTGATGCGCATCGAGGAACCATCATCATCTTGCAGCACCAGCAGCAGTACTTACCTACCGGTGTGTGGTAGCAGTGTGTGGTAGCAGTGTGTGGTAGCTGCTGTGGCGATGTGTATGGTATGTACAATGATACGCACGCCCGGAATCGTGAACGATCCTGGCTGAAATCCTCCCCCCCTCCATATCACTTGCCTATCCAAACGCGTGTCCGCGGGGATGAAAGAGATGGAAAAAAAGGATGGAAAAAAAGGATGGAAAAAAAGGAAGGAAAAAAAGGAAGGAAAAAAAGGAAGGAAAAAAAGGAAGGAAAAAAACATGGGAATGGGATGGGATGGGAATGAGGGTGGCGTCGCCGCCGTCGCCGTCCGTCGTTGTCCGTCGGAGAGTTTCCCCGAGAGCCTCAGTCTCAATGCAGATCGACCACCGGGTTTTTGATTCTTTCCTTTTGGAATTTGATGTGATGCATCACTGCTCACTGCTCACTGCTCCGAGGCCTGCCAGCCATCCGTGTCTCGTGCCCCCGAAAGTACCTGCGGCACTCGGCTTCCCACCGGTTTGCCTATCCGCTCCCCAATCCCCCCACTCTTCCACTCAACTAACCAACGCCCCTCGCCCCTCGCTCCGAAACCTCCCCTCACCCCTCGCTCCGAAACCTCCCCGCTCCCACTCCAACTCTATCTGTCGGCTCGATGTGTGCCCGTCCACTGAAGCCGCCCGCCCGACTGCGGATGATGATGCGTCGCCGTTTCGGGATGGCAGTTGGGCACCGTAGCTGAGCTGCGCTCATCGGGTATGTAAGAGGTAAGAGGCAGGTAGAATAGGGAGAGGAGGTAAGCAGGCGGGCGCCGTTTCCAGAACCCTCCCGACGCATCGAGAGGGAAAAAACGTACCTATTCCCGCCGATAGGTACCCATTCGGGACTCCACGCCTCTGGAGCGACAGTGAAGTCTGCTCCTCCTGCCTATATAGTATCAGCTGCGTCGTTCGTGTGTGATGGATGTGTGAGACCAACAACTCAACGGTTCACAACCAACCGCCACACGCCACATCCATAATACCTACCCATATACCCACCTGTCTATATGCCTGTCTATATACTCTGCGGAACACCGACCCACCTACCTGGGTGCACACCGTACTGTACTGTACTGTACCGTCAACGTTGGAAAAAAGTTCCGTCCTCGCAGTTCTTTGTTGTCGTCGGTGTGCTGAAAATCCTGCTTCGTCAGTCTTGGGAGATGCCCCGGCGGCGCTGTACGTAGGTGCGTAGGTGCGGAGGTGCGTAGGCATGGAAGGTAGAAGATACGTATCCGACCAGACCAGACATCGCCGGAAATCGATATTGCTCGACGATACCTACATGGAGTACAAATCTCGAGTTACTTTTTGTGTCACTCGATGTGTCGATCATCACCACGAGTAGGTACCAGGACGATCATCCAGTACGGTACCCACGGAGCCTCCCACCGGATGACCGGGCTCAGATATGCAACCGGGGATTTTCGCTACGTTTTATAGAAATTCGGAGCGTAACGCCGGAGAAATGCCACTGCCACTGTGGATCTGAACCCAGTCGACGGGGGGAGAGCAGGAAAGTGGAGTGGAGGAGAGGAGAGGGAAGACTCGGAAGGAAGGAAGGAAGCTGGCTACAACTCGGCATCACCAGCAATATCACGACATCCGTTCCAAAACACAAAGCATCACGTGCTCCGCTGCCGAGTGTTATCCTATGATTTCGTGATGCTCCTCCCTGCCTCCGAGCAACAATCTACCTAGCCAGCCAGCTAGGCACTCCGTCCGGCAAAAAGAAAAGAAAAGCCGCAACGCAGGCTTGAATCTTAGCAAAAGAGCGTCCTCCCCAAGGTTTTAGCCTTGCACAGCCGCGCCGATGGACCTTCTAAGTTCCCACCACCTAGGAAATTCGCTATGTACCACTGAGCCAGATCACTACCTGATGTTTTTGCGGATAGCGAAAATATGAACCCGCGAGGCATCGATAACCCACCACACTGTATGCAGATACGTGCAGCAACCCACCGCCATACCCATACGCAGAGAACCCCCGGCCGATGGACCTTGGAAGTTGGGCATACACCCCCATCACTTGCGAAGTTGGCTCCAACTACTCTATACTGGGCCATAATCTTTGCTGGTGGCTTTCACGCTTTGAAAATTGTAATACCCGAGGAGGCATCAGAGGCACCTGCTATGACTCGGCATCACCATGAATTCCACAACACCCGTTCCAAAACAAAACAAAACTTCGCGTCTTTGCACACGGCTCGATTGCCAGCCCCCCACCCTTCCACACCGCCGCCGGGGTCGAGAGGAGATATAGGCTATAGCACACACAGACGAAAGTGGAGGTAGAGGTTGATCGTCTAGGTATTCTCTGGATGGTGATGAGAGAGAGAGAGATAGAGAGGCCTCTCGGACAGCCTCTCAAGCTGAGTTCCCATGGTGCGTCCCTGAACCCGTGTGACTTCCCCGCGGTAGGACAGAAGCTCGTTGCTCGGCGTAGTTTTACTGCTTCCACTACTTTCACTGCTTCCACTGCCCTCGATAGCCTGAAGTGTGAACTAAGCTATCATCGAGGCTCGCATCTCAAAACCTGCAATCCAGCACTCCGCCACCAACAACCCCGCATACGTTCAGATAGCCATTGCTAGCCACGGACTGCAGAATATGCACAAAACGGACCTTCCGACGACTGCTAATACTGGTACCAGTAACCAGACTCTCATCGAGACCTTTCGGGATAGCTCCGCTGAGGCCATGGACCGAATCAAGACGCAAGCCTGACCACTGACGACGTCAAAATTGCCCTTTGTATTCGCAAGCATGGATGATCACTCGGCGCTTTACTTAACTCAACGCGACTCTCGATTATCTTGGGAGGACGACCGGCTAGCAGATGGTTTTGTGGAAAATTGTGGGAACGGATGTGGCACGTACAAACTTACGGAGCGGTGGTGGAGCGTGGCTGGACCACGGTATTCGCGGACGAGAGATGCGGTAAAGTCATCCGGTGTTTCTCACTCGCCGCAACGGACTAGGTCTCTGGTATATTCTCTCATTCTCGGTAAGACCATGCAGTTCTCGTTCTCGATTCCATGCTTCCAATGGTGCCTGTATAGGCCGGCGACAGCCGCCTCCACTTCCACTGAACGAGGGAAAATATTACTATCAAGTACATTAATTAGGTACTCCGTCTATGATCGTCCAGTCGTTATGCGTACGCGGCCCCAGCCGCCAGCCCCAAAACTCCATATAATCCTCTACTAGAGCGCAGCACAGTATCCAATCCAATCCAATCACAATCACAACTCCTGCCTCCGCGCGCCCAACGTTCCCCTACACTTCACACTCCCTTAACAACTCGACCACGTGCGTATCCCTCCACGCCTCCGCCAACTCCAACGGCGTGCGTCCATACCTATCCTCGACCTCCTTCTCCGCACCATTCTCCAGCAGCAACTTCACCATCCTCCCACTGCCCTTGCCCAGCCCGACCGCGAGCAGCAGGACGGGGTACGCAGTCGCATCCGCGCCCGCCTTTAGCAGTGCCTGCACAGCCGCAAACGCATCGTGCCACACCGCGACGGCGAGCAGGGGCGCGGGCGCGCCCGGCGAGGTCGCCAGGCCCGGTGTCGGCCCGACGGGGAGGTGGTGCATCCGTGTGGCGGGAAGCCCGCGCTGTAGGAAGTGAGAGAGGGGCTGGTCGCGAAGGAGGTGCGCGAGGAAGGCGCGCTGTGAGCATGAGGTGCGGTAGAGTCGGCTGTTGAGGAGATGGTATAGCCGTGGTGAGGCCTGGGCGAAGCTGGACAGCGTGGGTGTGCTCAGGTGGTCTGCGATCGTGAGGAAGAGCTCGTTCGGGAGAGTGAGGAGGGGTGCGCTGCTGGTGCTGGTGCTGGTGCTGGTGCTGGTGATGGTGCGTGCCATGCTGGCTGCTGGTTGCGGCGAGGGAGAAATGGTGTTGCGTTCTTTCGTTCTTGCGTTCTCAGGGAGGTGGAGGAGGAGGAGGAGGAGTCAACTCGTCCGTCCGCTAAAGGTATATATCGCGAGTCGTCGATCCGTCAGGTACGGGGTGTTTATGGAGGCAGCGCAAGTTTTGGACGACAGAGGGCGTCCCTGACGGAACCCTCCTAATATACACAGTCCCTACACAGCGGTTCCGAGAACCCGAGGGAGAGAGGGAAGGGAAATGTATCCCCTTCCACTCCCGTTCCACTCCCGTTCCCCTTCCCTTCCAAGTTCCCAGCCCCGAGGTTTCGCACCTATCGATCGAAGCCCGGGGAGGAAGATAAAGCTCGGCTACGAGCTCCTGACCAGGCATGCAGGCAGGGCATGTCGCTGATTGAACCCCTGCATGAGTGACCAGCCGTGCTGCGTGCATCGTCATCCCAGGTCCCGGGTGCACACGCACGTGCATATTATGAGATGCCACCGCATCTCGCAGTGCAGCGTATACGGGTATACACATGGTTAACTGCCGCCCGAGAGGGTCGAGACATAACGAGTGGATATATCGGGGAAACAGCCAATTAGGCGGGAATCGTAAACACATCTGTACCATTAGAATTGACCGGTAAAGAAGAACCAGGTATGATACCGGTAGGTACTCGGCCAGGACCAGCGACATCGCGAGCTGAGCGTAGCGTTCTACTAGTAGTAGTTAGTAGTAAGTACCAGGTCCGGCCACGAATCAACATCATCAGCTGGAAGGTGGAACACGTCGCGGACTCGCGGACTCGCGGCGATCTAGAGTAGAGCGGAGTATAGTAGACGCCTTCTCACGGGATCACGGGATCCCGCCCCAGTCGCCCTAGCCCCGACTCCCCACAGCCGCACAGCGTGCGATAGGTAATTAATCCTAGCCGTTCCACGCGAGCAGGGAGTCCACCTAACTCTAACTACCGATCAACGGAATAATAGAACAATGGAAGAAGATCAATGGAAGGGGATCAATAGAACGATGGAAGGAGCGTTGCAGGCTTGCCGCCGCAGAAATCCCCGGTGGACTCGCGATGAGGGATGAGGGATGAGAAATGAGCGATGAGGAAGTGCGCGTGGGTCTTGTGCTCCGCTACGCCTTGTGGATACTTAGCCAGATAACTACCGGCCGCTCAGCGCGCAGGTGGAACATCAAGTGGGTACATACCGGTATGTATGCTTACCGCATCGTTGCTGCATCGTTGCAGTACCGTACTACTAGTTAGTAGAGAAGCAGAGAACACAGAGATAGAGAAGTATCTATGTGGAGTAGAAAACTTCGGCACGTGCCCCTGACGTTCTTCCTGGCCCGACACTGGCCCGACAGAGCTGAGCTGAGCTGAGCTGAATCCCCTGTTCCACTCTATACCCACTAGTAGTAGACGGGAGTCGGGACTCTCCCACGACGTTCCCGCGAGACGAATGCTCTCGGACGCGATAAGCAAACTGCGATGATAGTAGGTACTAGTAGTACCCCACAACCTCGCGGACGATCCGGCGGACTCTGGTGGGCTCTGGCGGGTTGGTTTGGCGTAGGGCCGTTGCGGAGACGTTCCATGAGTAGTTACCTTGTATCTACCGGTATCTGAATTCAGCTGCGTCATTCCTTTGGAGATCCAGTTGACAGCTATATACTAACTACTGTATTACCTGTTGCCACAGTCGTTTAATGAGAGTATAGTACGAGGTGGGTTATGAAAGCCTCGCGGGTTCAAAATTCCGCTCGGAGCGAAATCACCAGGCAGTGATCATGGCTCAGTGGTAGCGAATTTCCCAGGTGGTGAGAAGATCCATCGGCTGTACAAGGCTAAAGCCTTGGGGAGGACGCTCTTTTGCTGCGGTTCAATACGTGGCTCAGTTTGTTTCTTTCTTTTTTTTGATTTCTGTGGTGCTGCGTGGGTGCGCAGTCGAGTGATTGTTTTGTGGGCGAACCATCGACGAGCATCACGAAAACGGCGCCTAAGCGGCTAACCCGGAAACTGACGGGACCTCAAACACCTCACTACCCGACGAAGCAGCTAAGGAATACATACCTCCCCAACATCGACTTTCATGCACTCGAAGCATGCCGATGTGAATACCGAGTCCAAGCAACCCTAACTGTCAGCAGCGGCGCCACATCGTGCTGGCCGGTAGCGGGGCCGCAACCTACGGCCGGCCAGAGTGGGCAGGAAATGAGTGCGGCGGTTCGCCATAGTCTAGATAGGCTGCATGCTAAATAAACTGGAGATCTCTCTCTCTACCCTTACTGTCAACATCAGCCGCGGCCCCCGGGCCCGCACATCTCTATGGTGAGATATATGAGGGATGGAAGAAGGTTGAGAGGAAGCGGAAAAGGAAAGGGAAATGTAAAGGGGAGGAGAGAGATGTGGGATTGGGAAGTGAGGGAAGCCTCCCGTCGTGGGTTGATAATGCTCGTAGCAGGGGCGGCGTATTTGTGACCGTCTTCATTGGCGGAAGCAGGAACGCCAGGCCGCAAAAGGCACGCAACCCCCATAGAAAGCAGTCGGAAGACTTCAAACGAAAGGACAGAGGGCAAGTGGGGAGAGCGGCCGAGTCAGTCTGTAGGAGGGAGGGAGGTGGGAGAGAGTGGGTATGCAGGCCCATATGAGCCTTTACCGTGTATTTACATTGCTGGGACAGGTCAGGGCGGAGGGTAGGATACAATTAAGAAATATATATGGAAATGGAGAGAGTGCGCTACCATTCAGCAATCGTCTACCTATTCTGGGGGTTCTCTGTGTATTACCATGGTGGACATGTATTGGAGCATCGTGCTCGTGGACAAAATGCAAACCGAAGCGCATACTCAATCAACCGTGCTTATGAATATCCTGTCATCTCGCAAACCGAGTCTTTTTCGTCTTCATTGCCCACCCACTTTCAGGTCTGCCGGATCCACCACCGCAGAGACTACTGTCAAATGAGCGTTCGGAGATGTGGCCGTCGGGTAGTGACGCCGGGGCGCCGCTGGACGCCGCCGCCGGACGAGCGGCCACCAGAGGCAACGAACGGGTGTGTGTATAGATAGAGGCCTACCTCCGTGTGTATAGACAAGTCAAGTAAACCAGACGATATATTTGACAACTACGAATGCCGAGCATGTGAATTGAGAGCGGTTAAGGAGCTATATTAGTAGCATACAAGTCCCTTCCCGCCCCGACGCAATTCCAAGCCTTGACTTTCCATTGACCCTACTCTTTTCCTCGCTATGTACAATTCAACTTCACGCACACCGCGGCCCCAACGACCCATCATAATCCATTCCAAGCCAACGTTTCACGCATCGAGTCCGTACCCCTTGTAGACTCCAACACTGTGCGCACGGAGCCGCTGATGGTTGATAGGACCATGAGGGTGCTGAGGTAGATACGCATTACGGAGGAGGAGGGAGGAGGAGGGAGGAGGAGGAGGCCTAGAGGTAGCGCTCTATGGGCAATGAGTGGATGGAAGAATTTGATACATCCTATGGGGTAACAATGCCTCTTTATTGCTTACTTGGCCATCACTAAAGTAAATGCTTATATGTTAGCATGTTGAAATATACGGGTAGACAGATGATGATATTCTATTGGATACAGAAGACGAACCTATCGTCTACGGCGCAGACCTCTATTTAAGACTGAGAGGCTACCAAAGGTTGGCCGCCGAACAAAGTTGGCCGCTTATCAGAGTCCGCCGGGCCCGCTCATCAGAGTTCGCCGCCGCCGCGTAACCATATACTCGTCCATGGTTCATAGTGGCCGTCGAGACTCTTCCAGAGCCGAGACTCTTCCACCGCCAAACCTTAACTCGTGGCGAGATCTCCGGGCGACTAAAGTTTGACATAGCATACACAAGGCATAGTACCGTACTTAGCTACAATGCGTAAATAAATACTACGTCATTATCATCAACAAGATGTAAAACGGTCGGAAATCACAATCACGAAACGATTACAGCTCATGCGCGTCAATGCCCCTCGAGTCACCATTCACAATACGAATCAAAAAGAGGGTATTAAAACAAAAACATAAATCAAACAAAAACAAAAACAAAAACAAAAACAAAAACAAAAACAAAAACAAAAATAAAAACAAAAACAAAAACAAAAACAAAAACAAAAACAAAAACAAAAAACAAAAACAAAAACAAAAACAAAAAACAGAAAATAAAAACAAAAACAAAAACAAAAACAAAAACAAAAACAAAAACAAAAACAAAAACAAAAACAAAAACAAAAACAAAAACAAAACAAAACAAAGGATTCCGGAGCTCCTTACTCCCACCCCGAGTGGCCGGCCAGCTCACGGCTTACTCCTCAACGGAGCTGCCAGAGGATCCGGCCGAGTCACTCTCGCTCCCCTCCTCCTCGGCCTCTCCAGCCTCCTCGCCACCAGTCTCAGAGTGAGGACCCAGGTCCACCCACTGCAGACGGAAGTCTGCAGCGGTGGACAGGAAGTCCTCACCCTGGCGATACGCGCGGGATACCCCGCCGACCCGGTGTTCGAGGACTGAAGAGACCTCGCCCTCCGCCGACACCACCACGTACTGGTGGAGGCCGCGCTCCTCAAGAGGAATGCGCGCACCATCCACCAGGGGGACATACCCCACTGGGCCCCCACGCTGGGGGGCCTCGGCCACGTGGTCGTGGTCATCGCGGTAGAGGATCTCCTCCTCTACCTCTGGGGCGAAACGGGTGGTGGGGACCACCACCGACTCGTCAAAGTCGGAGAGGTCCGGCTCGCCACCCATCTCCCCCTGCTCCACCGGGGCCGCAAGGCCCTGCGAGGCACCTCCCACGGCACCAGCGGTTTTAGCCAAATCATCATGCTTCTGCTGAAGCATGTTTGGCTTCCGCCGCTGGTTAAAGTGAAGAAGGTATGCTTCTGCAACCTTCTTCCACTCCCGTGGGAGGCCCTCTGCATCGAAGGTGTCCCGGACGTAGCGGAGAATCCAGTCCTCCTGCT